TGTGCTATATTAGTCTTGATATTGGAAAGAAGACATGAAATATAAAGGCAGCCATTTCTACATGTAAGAAATTAGAGTGATGGTGTAATGGAAGAAATCATAAATAAAAAATTTCAACAGCCAGTTAACATGAATAATCACCTTTGCTAGGAGGCTTTATGAACTACAGGAAACTAGGTTTACTGCATTACCTTTATGATTTAGATAATTATTTTCTTAGCCACTTTGTGAAGTGTCAAAGGATTCAGTCTTTTCAAAATGTTACTTATTTGTCCTTATTGTTTCAATAAGGATAATTTTCCTTTTCTTGAGAAGTGCTTTTGCTTCTGTTATCTTGTTTTGTTCTCACAACATCTCTAAGAAATTGGCAGGGAAGGTGTTCAGAATAGAAGCCTCTAGAAGTTAAGAGCTTGTCTAGTGTCATCAGCTAGTATGTGGATAAGCAGGGACTCAAATTTACATACACTGACTTCGAATCATTTTGTCGATACCTCCCCCCGACACACTTTTTTTTGCTAACATCTTTAGTTATCAAAATGCATCTGCCATTATTCCTGGATTTTGATAACTTTCAAAAGCATTGGCATGTGAGTTTGGTTTTGTGGTCACAGGAGTCAGTATTAGATCTGGCAGAGTGTCTGAACTCTGTTTTTGGACAAGCCGAGGCCTTGGCTGTTGTACCTGGGCTATAATCCCAAAGGTGTAGGGATCTGGCCCTTGGTCTACAGAGTGTTGAGTAACAGTATTGGAGAAGGGGAGACTCAAAATTAAAGCTAGATAAACATACAATCCAACCAAGGACTGCAAACAAGAGAGTGAGGCAGATTGGCAGAATCTAGGAATAATAAAGTGGGATAGAGACCTGCAATATAGTGCCAGAGCAAAATAGATGATGGAGAGTTGCAGGTGGAGCTCAGAGAAATTTACTGAGCCTCTTTTTAATGCAGCTGCAGCTTTGGCAATGAGTGGGAAAAGAGTTTTTAAGGTTGTCATGCTGGCTCAGATACATAGGTTGAGCATAAAAATTATTTCAGAATGCAAGCTGGCAAGGCACCTATTTCTTTCCTTTCAGAATCCAAAGAGAGAAAGAATACATGCCTGATTTTATTTAAGGATATATGACTTAAAAATGACATATTTCTAAATTATAATTTATTGAACATTTGTATAGAATTGTACATTAGCTGGTCAAGTTTAAAGAATCATTCTATTCTTCCCATAATATGCTAGTATGTAAAATTACCAGAACAATATAACATCTGAGACACAGTTGAAAATGGATTATGACCATTAAGGAGATTAATTGGCCAGGATAATAAAAAATAACATTTTAGATATAGAACAATAAAACCATATACTTTCCAGTGATTCTTGACTTCCAAAGAACATATTTCATAATTGGAGAACTGCAAAGTGTAACTCAAATATACAACGACTGGCAGGTATCCTGTAGGCCATCTATTTTCACGAAATCATTTACCTCTATGGGCTTGGTGTAGTGAAGTACATTAAAGAGAGGTTACACAAGTGTATTCTCTTTGGTAATTCCTATAAATAGAACATCATGAATTTAAAGGGGAGAATTAAAATTCAGTTCATTTTTAAAGTGCAGCAAGAATGTGGTAGTATCTTCTCAGTGGAACTAGATTAGCTGAACCAAAATTAAACTTTTCCATTGAACTGGGATGTTTGACCATATGATTTTGGGCCCAAAATTACTGTTTTCCATTAAGTACATGTGCCTTTTTTTTTTTTTCAGTGACGCGCTGTGTTTGGTTGTTAGCCTTGAACATACACAACCTTAGTTTAATGATTTAGGTGAACTGATCTAGGGAATAAAATGATGGTGCTGAAAAGGTAAAATAAGAATGTCTAATAAACATTCTCTATTCTAACTGTAAGAACCATGACACTCAAACTAACTATATCATGACCCAGCTATTCTGTGAAAATTCATTTCCAGAAAAAAGAAATAATAGAAAGTTCAATTATAGAGCTAAATATTGGGTTAAACCATGTGAAATAACCAATTGATAATCAATTATTTTTTACCTAGGGAAACCGTGAATTCGCATGGTACAACATGATATTACCATGACCCATAGTGTATTATATCAGTTATGTATTAATCCAATTCACTCCAAACATACAGGTATCTACATTGTGCCAGAATTCGCAAGAACATAACAACTATAAGGAAAACCTCATAAAAACAAGTGGAGGATGAAGGGAACACAAAGCAGGAAAGACAAATTTCAAACAGAGGTATTAAAAAAAGTCTTCATGCAAGAGTTGAAAATGGAACCAACCTTGAGATTTGACAAAGAGACATGAGAACAAAACTGCAGAGATGGCAAGGTCCACAAACACAGGATTTTTTTGAGATCATCTCTAGAACAGAAGCTATTAAGTAGGTCTAAAAAGCAAAGTTGATAGGAAGGCCATGTTGCTGAGAATGTGGAGTAACATGGTAATTACTTTAGGTTTTATTCTGTGGATCCAGCAAAGGTGCTTGAATAGGTGCATGACATAATTAGAGTTATATATTAAGAAAACACCGTGATGATAGCATGAATGATAGAATGGATGGAAATGAGAATAGAAAAAGAAGAATGACTTAGGAGGCATTTGTAGTAATATTAGGAAAGAATGATCGCTCGAATTACATTAACTTGACCACAAAGCACAGGTCAGATGCCATCAAGTCTTACAATCGAAAGGACTTGGTGACTACCTGGATGTAGGGGATGGTGAGAGGCAGGAATGATTTAAGATGTGGTTCAAGATGACATATAGTAACTGTGTAGTACCATTAAATAAAATGAAGAAATCAGGAGGGGCAGCATGTTGGATAAGGGTTTATAAGGCGATGGTGAGTTTTATTTACAAAACATTGAGTTTAAGGAGTGTAAGGAACATTTACCTAAAAACAGCCTTGCAGAAGTTGGTAAGGTTTGATCTGGAGTCTAGATGAAAAATGAGTGCTAAAGATGGAAGTATAAGAAGTGAAGACAACAAGGACAGTAGAGTATGCTTGGGAGAAATCAAAGAAGTGGCAGAATACAATTCTTTTGCTCAACTGCAGGGGAGGAGAGAAAGAGAGAGAGAGAGAGAGAGAGAGGACTTCCGAAGTGGAAGGGAAAGGCCTCGAAAGAATTCGTGAAAGATGGCTTTGATCTTCTCGCGTCTTCTTTGTAAATTTTGAAATGAGAGTAAGAGGAGCTAAGGAAGGATTAGAGACTTGACATAAGTGGGGAAAATTCAGGAGAGTCTTTGTGTGCAGGGCATGTAGAGAAGCATCAATTCTAATGTGTCATACTAAGGAACTGATAAGAAATATTCAAACATCTTTATCTGGGAAGCAGTTCAAATTGTTAACAAATATAGCTTGTTAACTATAGACATTATAGTTAAAGTCGTTATGGTTTATAACAGATGGCTATAACATAAAAATGAAATTATGATAAAATAACCAGTGTTTAATTGTAATGCAATTAATTTCATTTATATCTCAAGTGATTTCTTTAAACGGTATTTCTAAATTTTTCTGCCTTTTGAAAAATTCTTTTTCATGATATGTGGTTTATTTTTAAATTTTTCCCCCACATACTGATAAGATAAACCATTTGGTTCACCTTTTCTTATACTATTAATGATGCAGTTAAAAAATAAATTATTTCCTGATTTTAATCATTTTAAAAATTAACTGGACTTCACTTTTACAAAAAAAAGCTTACAATTAAAATTCTTGATTACCACATTCTTCAAGAACTCAGCTATTGATATAAGTTATCTGGATGGAATGGGGCATTTAAAATGTTAATCTAGTTTTGTTGGTAGTAGTTAGATTGCTCTTCTAACCTTAAATGATCTGTCACAGAATTTCTGAAAAGTCCATTGAAATTACCCAGCTTACTGCATTAATTTTAACAAAAATGAGCTTTAGAAATGAGTGGCATGTTTCTTACTTCCTTATCATTTCTGCAGAGGAGGATATTAAGACTTTGACACTTTACAATAGGGCACTAGTCAATTTAACCTATGTTGCCATGGTTACTCTTGGCACAAAATCACAATCTGTGCCAACGAGTAATATTATCTATCACTGACAGAATCAACACTTTTCTGCTGCTTCTTTTTTTCTTTCTGGGTGAAATTATTTCACCTAGTAAGCATTAAATAAATAATTTTTGATTTTATAGACAGCTAAGAAAACCAATTCAGTAAGTTGAAGTGACACATTTACTTTCTTGTAATAATAAATTATAGAGGCTTGAACTTGACAAGGAATTCAGAGATAATTTCATCTATTTTTTTTTTTCATTTTAAAAATGGGAAAATGATGCACTAAAATAGAAAGGGACTCCTTAAGTTTACACAGACAGTAAGTGATCAGCATAACTAAACAAAATTCTTTCTCTTGTAACAAAATGAAGCTTAGATTTTATTTTATTTTTCAGGAAAGCTAAGTAAATACACAAAGAAAAAGCTAAGATCTTCCTTATCACTAATTTTATTGACCAACTCTGGGATATATGACAGTGAGACCTAGGACCTCTATAGTGACGTTTAGAGAGAGACAATGTAAGTCATATCTGAGTAACTGAAAATATTGGCCTATACCGAATCTAATCAGCTTGGCTTTCTTACCGGTGCAGATAGATTAAAGCTGTGCATATGATGTAATATACTAACTAAGATATAAATCCGTTTGGGGCACATACTGTGTCATTTATTCAATATAAATATGTGCATATGAATAGGAATTAGGCAGCATTCTTGCTTTCAAGAAGCATTTTGTACCACCCACCACACTGAATACAGTGTTTTCTTATTTCATTGACTGATAGGATGTTCCTTTATCCTTTCTTTCCAAATGATTGCTGTGATTTGCAATTTGATAGGACTGTACTGCAGATTTGGATATTAGTCTGCTTATAGGAAAAATGCTACTGATCACATATTCATATGATATTGTAGAGCTTACACAGTTGTCCTTTGTGTGTTAAGACAAGAGAGAATGTTAGTAACTCCCAGGATAAGGACACAAGTGGTTCTAATGACCTTTTCAACCCAATGGTTTCAAGGCAGTGGTTTCAACAGATGGTTTTAAGGCAGTGGTTTCAGAAAGTAAATTCAAGAGGCAAAGCAGTACAACTCTCTGAGTTTCAGTATCCCCATGATGGACTGTGATGAAAGCAGTAATTTTCAAAAAAATTTTTAAAAACTGAACTTTTTATTTTTTCAAACAAAATTTTGTATAAAAAAACAGTAGTTATATAAAATAGATAAAAGTAGAAATACTCTGTATGAATCAGAAGTGTGGAGCTTTGGTTCTCACCAGCTAGGCTTACTCTCACCTCTTCATTTTATCAATGAAGAAAGAGAATTCCAGAGAAGTAAAAATAAATTTTCCCTAAAATTCATTGCTAAAAAATGATACAACCAAGACTGGATTCTAAATTTCTTTCTACTCTACCATATTGGCTCAAGAGTATTGAATTTATTAGGGATCTATGCTATTGTGATCCATTGGAAAGATAAAAGAAGTTAAAGATACAAAGTCTTCCTTGAAGGACTTAACAATCATAGCACAGAGATGAAACAAAATCTTTTTTATTAGAAAAAAAATGTTTTCCGAACATTTCTTACTTTTGATGCACTAGAAGTATAAAAGCTAATAAGACCATAGGCCCTCAAGAAATTCACAGGACTAATGGAGAGTATGATAGGCTGAATAATAGCCCCCAAATATATCCAAGTCCTAATCTCTAGAACTTGTGAATGTTACCTTTTAGTAACAGAAGCTTTGCCAATGTGGTTAAATTAAGGATTTTGAGATGGGGAGATTATCCTGGATTACCTAGGTGGGCCCTAAATGTAATTACAAGTGCCCTTATAAGAGAGAGGCAGAGCAGATTCTACTACAGAAGAGAGAAGACTATGACAACCTTAGCAGAAAGAGATTTGAAGTTGCTAAGGCTTTGGACATGGAGAAAGCAGTCATGAGCCAATGAACGCAAGGAATTCAGGCTTCTAGAAGCTAGAAAGAAAATGGAAATGGATTCTCTCCTAGAGCCTCCAGAGGGAGCTTGGCCCAGCTGGCACCTTGGTCTCATCCCAGTGAAACTGATTTTAGACTTCTGGCCTCCAGAATTTACAATTCAGTGAATATATCTGTGTTGTTTTAAGCCTTCAAGATTGTGGTAATTTGTTATAGCAGCAACAGCAAATTATTACATAATCAGGTAATAAAGTGAATTGTGAGTTTTTGCTTCATCTGCACATTCACTAAACCTGGAATGAGAAGGAAGAATATCATGAAACAGAAACATGAAGTGTTTCATAGTAGGATAATATGGATAATAGTTCAATACTTGTTCTAGAAAAATTGGCTACCCATATGACCATCAAGTAAATGTGGATTTCTATTTTACCCTACATATAAAACTCAGTTCTCAGTGGCTTAAAAGTCTAATGTGAAAAACAAAACTTATTAATCTTCTAGAAGAAAATTCAGAAAAATATCTTTATTACTTTGGAGTAGAGAAATAGTTCTTTAAGGAGACAAAGAAAACATACATTGTAAAAGGAACAACTTCATAAATAAAACCACTGTAATTTTTTAAAAAGTTCATATGAAATATTTTTTTTTTAAGTAAAAAGACACACCACACATTGGGAGAAAATATGTGAAATGCACATAATGACAACAAAAAAGGGATTAGTATCCAGAATATGTAAAGGGTTCCTGCAAATCAGGAAAAGGTCGCTCCAATAGAAATGATAAAGGCATAATTCTAACTAATGATGTAGTGACTCCACAGAGAGCGGAGTAGAGGAATGAAAATTCTGCTCTCTGATTCTCCCTTCTTTTGCTCCCCATGTAAAACCAAATAGAAGTCAAAGGCAAGGGATCCCTTTGCTGTCTTGCATACAGTTCAAAATCCTGGACCAAGTAGCAGAACAGAAAATAATGAAGTGTGGATCTAGAGTGACACCAGACCCATAAGAATTTCAAAGTCTAACCATACTATGTGTTGGAGAGTATGTAGACCAAGGGTAAATCCCATGCAATTATTATGGGAGTATAAATTCATACAACTGCTTTGGAAAGCAATTTTGGCAATATTGCTAAAGTTAGCTCATATATACTTTATGACCCAACAATTCCCTTCCATGTATATGCTCTATAGAAATATACATACATGTGCAGCAAAAGACAAGTATAAGAAAGTTCAAAGGATAATTATTTTAAAACATGTTTTGAAAAAAAAAATCCATCAGTTAGAAGGGTTGATGACTACATAGTAGTATACTCAAGGATATGAAATAGAGGAATCTCACAAACAACATTGAGTAAAAGTCCACATCACAGAAGGATAGTTCCAGTATAACTTTATTTAAGGTTTTTAAAACATACCAATAATACTGTATGTTATATAGTTCTACATGTATGTGCAGTTAAATGATATTGAATTACATGGAATAATGGACATCAATTTACAGTAGTAGCTATCTCTGAGGATTAGGGGGAATTCCTCGGAGGCTTCAATATATTGATGATACCATTATTCTTAATTTTGTGGTGAATAAATAAGTGATTGAAATATCATTTTATTCAATTTTATGTCAGATATATCTCATAATGCTCTTTAAAACATGATATGTTATAGGTGCTATAAAAGAGATATGCCCAAGTGCCTCTAGGAACACAAATGAAGGTCTCGTGACATAGGCCTGGTGGGTGTGGTCAGGAAAAGATTGCTAGAGGAAATAGTGTTGATCAAATAGTTTAGACCATCATAAAATCTCTTGGAGTTTAGTGTAGGAAGAAGTCATTGTGGTGTGGATACATCACTAAGAAACTAAATTTAAAATGGGTCTGAAAGAATGGGGAGGAATTGCATGGAGAAAGCAGTAGTTGGAATGAAGGTAGCTAAGTTAGAGAGGAGGCGGAGGCACATTTCTAAAGAGAGTTGGACAATGTTTCCATGAATGAAACAAATTCCAGCCAGTCGGGCTTTAAGTTTTATTTATTTAGAAACTAAAATCTCCCTCAGGAAAACTAATGCTCAAAAATGTATGTGCAAAAAACAGCTCAAGGTAAGGGTATACAGTATAGCTAGCATCATTGCAATGTGTGTTATGCTCAGCTGCTTACGAAGCTTATAAATCCTCACAGCCCTGCCAGGTCAGAGGGCAGGCAGCACTATCATTTTACAGGGTCAAAGCCTTAGAGAGGTACAATGACTTGACCAAGGTTACTTGACTTATAAGTGATGGGGTCAATTCTAGAACCAGTTCTTCCAATTGTAAGTTCAAAATTTACTAGCCTATTCCACATTTTCGCAGGTGAAGTTAGATCAACAGTCTCTTACATAAGCACAAATCCACTGAAGAGCTTTTCAGCAAATTTTAATGGAATGAGAGTGCTCACAGACACATTGCTAATAATTTGTATAAGGCAATGATTTATTGCAGTGAGGTGAACTGCCCAATCCCTTGGGAAGGGTGGGTTGGTAAGTAATTGGGATATTCTAGCACGTATAACTTTTTTCAAAGTACACAACCTGATTAAAAGTGTAATCCTCTAGTAATAAATGGTTTGGAGGTTACATTTCTTCTGTTAGACCAGAAATTATATAAACAAAATCAATGAAACAAAGCTGATGAGTTCTGTTAATAAAGTGGTCAGGAAAATTGTCCTTTAGTCTCTAGGCTATAGAATTTTTTTTTTAAATGGAGTCTGGAAAAATTGTTAGAATAAATGTGTCTAATCTATACTTCTTTTTTTCTCCCATCAGCAGATCAGTAAGCCTATCTAAGAGCCCACAGAGGGGACAAAGCATGATATCAGTGCAATTATGGATGACCAAGTGGGTTAAGATTAATTTCATTGGATTTATACTCAGAACCATATAGCACAAATGTAGCCAGTGAATTGAAGGAGAAATGGTGCAGAAACATCAATCACTTTACCTTTGACTGTGACTCTAACTTTTTGTTGATATTATGGGGGTAGACAAAGGTATAATATACATTTTCTGCCTTCAAGAAACTTACAGGTACATTTGGGAACTGTGAAACATTGCAACAGTAAATTATGAGGTACGGACCTTAAGCACCGTTTAGAAGACACTAATTACAATGTGTAGCAGATCATTATTACTCAATAAAAATAGGTTAAGTGGCACCTTGGAAAATTTTGTGCCAGTGGTTGATTTCTTTCTAAAATATTTTGGAAATATGGTGAATTCATATGTTTCTTGTATGGGTTGAGTCCCACACTCTATGAAAGGCAGGAAAGTGCAGAATGGCTCCTGGACTGATTATTCAATTAACAAAATAGTTTGCTTCTAAAGCCATTGACTGGCAAAGAAGACGTAATTTACTTTAAATAGCATATACCTTGAACTGATAATAGTTTAAACAAATAAAACTGGTTTGTTTAAAAAATTTTTCAAAGCAATATTCTGTAACGTGCATTATTCCCCAAGTAACGAAGAGATGATACTTTATATAATCTTTAAATATATGTCAAAAATACAAAGTATTTTATCATGATTTTAAATACGACTGGAAATACTTTATAAATAGGAAAAATCTCACAAGAAAAATAATAAAACTAGTGTTTAGGACTAAGAAAACAAAAGCAGTATGCAATAATTGGATAAGCTCAAAGAAAAAGAATAAAGGATACGCAATAACATATTAGATTATTGTTAATTGGAAAAGCCAAGACATTCCTCCAGGCAGAAATCAGTGATTAGAATGTGGTAAAGCTCATTATCATCACCAGGGTTGGAAATAAAAAGTGGATTGCATCTCCTCCTTACCTAAGTTTTTCTGTCAACAACATTTAGATGGTTCGACTGGTGAGATAAAGCAATGCGAAGGGTAAAATTTTGGTAAAATTTCGCCTCTCAACATTTTTCTCCCTCAGAGACAGAGTACACCTGCAGGCTTCTGAAGCCCTCCTGTCTTCAATCAATATCTATAAGCTCAGAGCCACCCACACACAGCAGGAAGTATGAAACAAGGCAGAGAGCAGCCTGCCTCAGGAATAGGCTTCAACTCTTGTAGATCTCAAGGATGTACTGATTTCTGCTAACTGGAACATTGT